ATTTCATTAATATATTTAAAAGTTGCTTACAAAATCATTCTGAACGTCCACAAAAGTTATATGTATTTCTAAACCATAACTATACACAATATTGTGAGGTCTTATTTTGGACCGAAGTTACAGAACTTGGCTTATGAAAATTAGTTATGGGATAACAATAACAAGATAGAATTGAATAAAAATGAGGTTAAGAACAAACTATGGCAATAGTATCTTTGAAATACTGTTGCATTCACTACCAGTAAATTTAATTTTGGCATTTATGCCAAATACTAACTTATGTTTTTCTGCTTCAAGCTGATTATTAACTCCTTGAAGGAAATGCCACATTATTGCTTTATTTGGTAACTGAGGTCAGATTGCCTCAGGCCTACCACAGTCTGAGGCCATGGAGAAACTCAAACAATTCATGGAATCAAACTGGTCAGATAAAACTACAGATCTCAAAAAAAAAAAAAAAAAAAAAAAAAAAAAAAAAAAAAAAAAAAAAAAAAAAAAAAAAAAAAAAAAAAAAAAAAAAAAAACTACAGATCTCAGAAAAATGCATAAATCAAAAGACGAATTTTGTTATCTACTCGTTATTATCTCTTCATAGCCAAGGAAAGCTAGTTAAGAATCCTCCAGAGTAAAGAAAGGAGGACACTCACCTGGAATTATGTAAAAATGACAATTTAAACACATACCTGGTCCTCTCCCTACACCTGTGTGAACATGGCTCCGATTAGATGATGAAATATTATCAGTTTGAAATTTCTGATTTTCTCTCTGCTTTGCCTGATCACCAAATCCATTTTCTTTTGAATTATCTGATTTATGAATTACAGGCTTTTCACATCCTTAAAAAGATAAACAAAAGGTATCATTCCTTTCCTTCCCATGAGAAGAGATGCTTGAATCATTTTTTTCAGATATTTTTAACTGCAGAAACAGTTAAGTAAAACTTAGAGGATTGATACCATTTAAGAATTTCGAAATGAAGGCATCCAAAAATGACTTCGCTGTTTTGGACTTTTCCAGTTTACTCAATCACTTAAAATGTACTTCTAGAAACAGCTACTAGTAGAGGCTCTTCTGTGATTGTGTGATCATAATAGTGGCTAACTCCTGAAGGTGCTTCTGAGGCCACTGATGAGAAAAGGTTCATTCCAAAATACTAACAAAAATTACTAAAATTTCCTGAACTCTGCTGAAAATCAAATTTGAAGTTATCCTAAATATTCATTTTATAATCAGAGTATTAATATTCCTAGTTGACTGTGATAATAGAAAAACATTGAAAAATTTAAAAAGAAAGAATTACCCATATTTTCTGCAACAGATTTATAATGTGACCAGTTGATGACCTGCCTGAGTGCATCCTCAGTAGAAACTGCTGTGCCATCTGGGTTTGCGTAAAACAAAAGTAGTGGCTGAAAGTGGCATCGAATGCATTTGGAGACAACATCTTTCCATCTAGTTCCAATCTTTTAAAAAACCACAATGAATAAAAACAAAACAAAACCTTGTTATCATTTAAATTTTTGACGGACAAAGATCATCAACTTCAAGGTGATTAAATTTTAAAAAGCTTTCCAAATATGTGGTTGATCGACATCTGACAAAGATTTCAAGGCAATTCAATGGAAAAATATAAGAGTTGGCTCAACAAATGGTGCTACAACTGGAGAAAAAGAATTTTTACCATGAGAAAAAGAACTTTGACTTGATTTCCTATAAAACGACAAAAAAAATTAACTCAGAATGGCTCATACAAAAACTACAAAACTTACAGAAGAAAACAAAAGAGAAAATCTTTACAACTTTGGGAAAGGGCAGATTTTTCAGCATACCAAACCATAGAAGAGAAATATTTTTAAAATGGACTTAATCAAAATTAATTAATAACTTTTACTCTTGGAAAGACACCATTAAGAAATCGAAAAAGTAAGCAACATACATGTAATAAAGGACTGGAATACAGAATAAAGAATTCCTACAATACATTAATAAGAAGATAATCCAATATGAAATACTGGCCAAAAATTTGGACATTCCACCAAGAGAAAGATGTAAGAATGGTCAACAAGCACATGAAGAGATGCTCAAAATATTACCAATCACAAGGGACATGCAAGTGAAAACCACAGTGAGATACTATTATACATATACTAGGAGGGCTAATGTTAAAAAGAACACCAACAGAAGTGCTGCTGAGAATGTGGAACAACAGGAACTCTCATACATTGCTATCATAGAATGCAAACTGGTATGACTACTTTGGAAATCAGTTTGATAGTTTCTTGTAAAGTTTAGCAGACACTTACCATACAACCCAGAAATCCCACTTCTAGGTATTATCTAAGAGCAATGGAAAAAAATATGTTCACAAACAGCTTATTCATACTTCAATAGGTAAATGGATCAATTGTTGTACAGCCATAAAACACACAATAAAAATACAGCATGGATCCAAACAACATGAATGAATCTTAAAGACATTATGCTGAAGGAAGGGAGGCAGACACAGAGTAGTACATACTGTAAGAGACCATTTATATAAAATTGTAGAATGAGTGAAACTAATCTATAATGAGACCAGTGATTTCCTAGGCCTGGAGTGGTGTAGAGAGTATGACAACAAAGAAAACTGATAGAATTTTTCTAGGGTGATGAACATGTTCTGCATACTGATTATGGTGGTTACATAGGTGAATACATTTATCAAAACTCCAACTGGACACTTAAAATGGATGTATTTTAATGTTTGTGCACTATACCTCTATAAAGTTGATTTAAAAGCAAAGCAAAACCAACCAAACAAAAACACCACAAAGCATTCTAGAATATTTTTGCAGTGAAGGGGACTTTTAAGAAAAATTCTCATGAGCTTTTTCAAACTACACATATTCCGCTGTTGATTCTCCTCACTGGACTTGAGGAGTCCATTTGTTTTGTTTTGTTTTTGAGAAAAAGTCTCACTCTGTCGCCCAGGCTGGAGTTCAGTGGCATGGTCTCAGCTCACTGCAACCTCTGTCTCCCAGGTTCAAGAGATTCTCATGCCTCTGCCCTCTTGAGTAGCTCGGATTACAGGCATGTGCCACCACACCTGGCTAATTTTTGTGTTTTTAGATGGGGTTTCACCATGTTGGCCAGGCTTTGAGGAGTCAATGTGAAAATAAAATAACAAAAAACTTCACAGGGTGATTACCCAGTTCTTCCTCCAAATTTTGACAACTTAAACTATGTAAAAGCAAAGTAGAAACTGCAAAATGTTGTTACACATTGACTCAAGATGAAACTTAATAAACTCCTACAAAAAAAGTACTAAGTAATTTAAGCAAAGTGCTGATTTTAGAACATAAATACCAAAAATTTTTAATAGCTTTATTTAGGTATAGTATATGAAGTAAAATTATCTAGTTATAGTGTACAAGTCAGTGAGTTTTGATAACATAATCATGTAATCCTTACCCCCAAACCTTACCTTACACCCCAGTTTGCAGTCCCTGAAAATGATCTACTTTCTACACCTTTGTTTTTCCTTCTAGAAATTTCATATAAATGGAATCATAGCATGTAGTCATTTATATCTCACTTCTTTCACTTAGCATAATGCTTCTGAGATTTGTTCATATTATTGCATGCATCAATAGTTCAGTCCTTCTTGCTGAGTATTATATTCCACTGTATAGCTATACCACGATTTGTTCATCCATTCACCTATTGTTGACATTTGAGTCATTTCTAGTTTGGGCTACTATGAAGAAAACCACCAAGAACATTCAAGTACACGTTATATGTGGACTTATGTTTTCACAGGAGTGGATTTGCTGGGTTATATGATAAATATATGATTAAATTTATAAGAAACTGACAGTTTTGTAAGTGAACTTTCAATTGTGTAGTTCCATCAGCCTCATGTGAGAGATCTAGCTCTTCTCATCCTCACCAACTATTGGTATGGTCAGTCTTTTTAATTTTGATCATTACAACAGGTAAGTAATGGAATCTCATTATGAATTAAATTTGTATTTCCTTTGTGGCTAATGATGTACTGAATATCATTTCAAAGGCCATTCATATATTTTCACTGGTGAACTATCAACAATTCTTGATAATTTTTTATTGGGTTTTAAGAGTTCTTTCAATATTCTGGATATAGCCTTTATTAGATACGTTTCACAAATATTTTCTCCCAGTTTATGGTTTGTCATTTCCTTCTTACCAAAGAACAAAAATTTTAACTTTCGATGAAGTCTAATTTATCAACTAATTTTAAGGTTCATGCTTATTAAATGTAATCTAAGAAATCCCTATATATAAATAATAGTTTTACTATCCTTCCCTGATATTCCCATCTCAGTCATTTCCGATCTGTTTTTATTAATTTTTCTTCAGGTTCTTTGCATATTTGGTAACTTTTTATTGAATGCCATTTTGAAGTGGCATATTGAAATTCCATTGAACTTTGTAGGCTTGAATTTTGTTGTGCTATTTGAAAAGTAGAATTAGCTTTGTCCTTTCAAGGCTTTATTTTAAGGTTTTTTTTGTTTTGTTTTGTTTTTGAGACAGAGTCTCACTCTGTCGTCAGGCTGGAGTGCACTAGTGTGATCTCAGCTCACTGCAACCTCTATCTCCCTGGGTTCAAGCGATTCTCCTACCTCAGCCTCCCAAGTAGCTGGGACTACAGGAACACGTCACCACACCCAGCTAATTTTTGTATTTTTAGTAGAGACAGGGTTTCACTATGTTGGCCAAGATGGTCTCGATCTCGACCTCATGATCTGCCCACCTAAGCCTCCCAAAGTGCTCGGATTATAGGCATGAGCCACTGTGCCTGACGTTGTTTTAAGCTTTTTAATGTCAGGTACAGAACAACCTTCAGCCTAGAAATAATTTAGCCCCATTATCAAGGTAATACTTTTCTGAAAATTCTAGCAAATGCCTATATGTTATATCATCTCTCCACTCTTTATGGTGGGGATACAAACTATCACTAACCTTGCATGATTTTTGAAAACTGTTTTACATTTTGTTTTCCAGTGAGGCTTCCCATCTCTCTGAACTAGCCCCAAACTTGTGTGGGTTCACTCCTCACATACACAGATCACAATTTAGCCAAAATTTCCAGGGAACCCCTACATCAATTTCCAGAACTTTCTCCCCGTGCAGTTTTCTTTCTGATATTCTGTCCTGCAAATTTTAGCCATCTAGGCCTCCCTGAACTTCAATTTCAGTCTCCAGAACTCAGTGACACTACTGGGCTTTGTTTGGGCTCCCATTGCCTGCATTGCAACCCAGAAACTACCTCTAGGCAGTAAGCAGGGGTAATTATAGAGCTGACCTCATTTGTTTCGCTTTTCTTTGTTCAACTGCATGTTGTTCAATGTCTAAAAAGAGTTGTTTCACCTATGTCTTAGTTTTAAACAGTGAAATGGCTATTTCTACAGCAGTTAATCCTTCATGGGTAGAATTAGAAGTCCACTAAATGCCAAATATTTGAACTTGTATGTCTTAATCACAGTGCTGATAAATGGCCTTTGGTTGTATATTAAAATGAAACTAAACAGAATTCTACATTATTTGCTTATAACAACCAAAGAACTTGTATTTTAAAATGAGTTTACTACTTAATAAAGATTGCCAAAGCTTATAAGCCTGAGAACAGTAGTGCCAAGACCAACAATTTTCAATGGAGCTTATGTCTGAATCTCCTGTAAAACTTAAAATTTCAGATACCTGCCTTTACACCATTAAATCAAAACTTTAGGAGTCCAGGCATATATGTTTTTTTAAAAGCTCCTTATGTGGTTCTGATATTCCTTATTAAGAACTATTATTCACTACTTTTCTAGACAATATTATTACAATTTGAGTAAATAAATTATAGTTGGCCCTTAAACAACACGGATTTGAACTGCATAGGTTCACTTATATGTGGATTTTCTTCTGCCTCTGCCACTAAGACAGCAAAACCAACCTTCCTTTTCCTCTTCCTCTTCAGCCTACTCAACATGAAGACAGCAAGAAGGATGAGGACCTTTATGATGATCCACTTCCACTTAGTAAGTAGTAAATATATTTTCTTTTGCTTATAATTTTCTAAGTAACATTTTTTTCTCTAGCTTACTTTACTGTAAGAGTACAGTATAAAGTACATATACCATAAAGAATAAGTGTTAATTGACTATGTTTTTGGTAAGGCTGCCTATCAATAGTAGGCTGTGGGCAGTTAAGTTTTGAGGGAGTTGAAAGTTGGTTGTGGGTTTTCAACTGCACAGGGGCTTTGGCATGCCTACGTTGTTCAAGGGTCGACTATAATTACCAAAAGATGTAACTGATATATCTATCTTTCTATGCCACACACAAAATTTGAAAAAAATTGTCATAATAAAAAGACAAGCACATTTTTATCACTAGTTATACAAAACTACTGTGAATAATCTACAAAAAAAATATAGCAACTATGCATTAGTCAAAAAGGATAATCTCTGACACACAGATCACTGATAGTTACATATTTGTATACTAACATTCATTAGTCAGTTTATTATTATTCTGGAAATGGACTAATTTAAAAGTTGGCTTCAAAATAAGCCAGTTTCAAGAGTAAAAAAAGAAAGTTTGAACTTGATGATGCCAGCATCATTATGTTCATTACTATTTTGCATAATAATTATATCATCCTTTTGAGTATTAATATCAACATATTATTTATTACCAAAAAGTAAAAATCACAGTAATTATTTCAGTTAAATAAAGTGTCACTTACCTCTTTCACATTTGCATCATCAAAAAAAACCCATTTGGAACTTTTGGTGTGAAATGCAAAGGCACAATAATGTCGGCTGGTGTAGCAGATCATACCAACAAGGAGAAGTTCACTATTTTTGGCATTTTCATCAGTAACCCTATAAAAAAGCTGTTTAAAAAATTAGTAATGTATACTTAACACTATATCTTTTTTAAAATGAGGAATAATTAGATTAATCATGTATTTGGCTCATGAAATATTTCTCATGCATACTGCCCCACTCCAATATTATGATATTGTTACTCAAAGGCACCACTGTTAACATAATTGCTACTTTTAATTTGTTCATAGAAACATTAAGACCAATAAAACAAATTCACTACTAATTAGTAATAGAGTATCTCTAATGATACATGACTGAAACTTTTCATAAAGAAATTCAAAATATGAGATAAATTCCACATTTCTGGTAATTTTTGAATCACATATTCCAATGTTCATTAAAAATATCTAAAAGATATTTATCTAAAACTTTAATTGTAACAATTCAAAATATATTAAGAAAGTTACAAGCATATCAAGAGATCATGGCCAGGCATGGTGGCTCACACCTTTAATCCCAGCACTTTGGAAAGCGAAGACAGGTGGATCAACTTGAAGCCAGGAGTTTGAGACCAGCCTGGCTAACATAGTGAAACCCCTCTCTTCTAAAAACACAAAAAATTAGCTGAGTGTGGTGGTGCATGGCTGTAATCCCAGTTACTTGGGAGATTAAAGCATGAGAATTGCTTGAGTCTGGGAGGTGGAGGTTGTAGTGAGCCAAGATTGTGCCAATGCACTGCAGCCTGGGCAACACAGCAAGACTGTGTCAAAAAATTAAAAAGAGAGAGAGAGAGAGAGAGACTTCAGTGCTTTAGATGAATTTTAAATCTTAAAACCTTTCTAAGTTAACAATATTTATATTTACAATCATGGCCATATATAAAAAATCATCTATCATCATCATTTTAGACTGAAAGAAGCAAAAGTCATAAGACAGTTTAGTTTATAATTGAAAGCCATTCCTAGCTTTTGTAATAAAGACATTCCAGTTAGCCTGATTTGATTAAACTTGTCTTTATCAGATAAAACATCAGAATAGTATTATTTTATTCAGAAAAAAAAATTAGTTTTGAAATCAAAATAAGTGTATCATAATATATATCAAGATGTTTTAGAAGAATATGAAAATAAAAAAGAGAGGAATGAAAATAGTTAAGATACCCCAGGAAGATAAAGATGTGTTGCTAGATTCCGTACAACATCTTCGGTCAAGTCAGAATGCTCAGAGTCCCAGACTAAACCAATTGTAACAATCTCTGGGCAATTCATTAAAACACGGCGAATTTTTATTTTTTGGCCACAGTTACTCTACAGAAAAACACAAAAGTCAAATTTTAAAATTATGAAAACAGATAAATCATATGCAAAGCCTTACACAGTTTAATAATTATATATTATATAACAATTTTAACACATATCTGCAATTTATTCAGTATACTAAAAATTGACTTCTCACAAGCTGTCTTAATTATTGATTAAACAAGAAGTTTATTTTAAATAAAAGTATTCTTTGATATTTGTGTAAATCTGTTAAAAAAACAAATTCAACCTTAAAAGCAGAAATAAAACCCTTGAGTCATTAACAATATTAGATGAGAAAAGAGTATCATTCATCAAATTACTGAAAAAAAGAAACTTTATCTTTAATCAAATGATACATTTCAGAACTCTGAAAACAATTAACATATGCTACCTTAAAACCTTCACAAACTTTACAGTGTTTAAAGAAATCAATATTTACATGATAATATCTGAATGTCTATTTTCAAATTTACAAAACCAGAAGCATCTAATATTCTCCAAAGTATACTTACAGGACATTTCCTATAGTCATCCGTTGTATTTGCTGCTTGTAGCAATTCTGCAAACATTTCAGGTTTAAAGCGTTCATGCCTTTCCAACATTCTTTCAACTTCATTGCTACGAAAAAAGAAACAATCCCAAATCTGGCCTATGAACTTAAAACTTTAATAAACTACATACGAAAAATATTGTCAGTTTAGACATGCGTCATTTTTTCTAAGACATGACCATGACTTTAAAATTAACCATAAAGTACCTTTCCATAAAGTGAAAAATTATTAAATTTGGCAAGTATATGATGAAAACACTTAGCTCAAATAAAGACAACAAAGTGACAAAATTATACTTTTGTTTGGAACTAGATGAATGAGGCTAAGATGCTCTGTCTGAAGGTAGTTCTAAAGCAAATGTTTCTTTTGTATTATTGATTAATAAGTAGAAGCTGAAGTTTAAACCCTACCCTAACAAGAACAAAACTGTAGGAAAGGCTCGCTCTCTGGCCCAAAGTTCCTAGAAGCAAAATTACCAATTTCAGCTAGGAGAAGGTCCTTTGCTGATTAAATGCAGAAGTCACAAGCCAAGTTTTTAAAGCCAGACTTACGCCTTTTGTTTTTATTATGAATACTACTCTTTTTTTTGAGATGGGGTCTTGCTCTATCGCCCAGGCTGGAATGCAATGGTACAATCTCAACTCACTGCAACCTCTGCCTCCTGCTTCAAGTGATTCTCATGCCTCAGCCTCCAGAGGAGCTGGGATTACAGGCACGTGCCACCACACCTGGCTAACTTTTGTATTTTTAGTAGAGATGGAGTTTCACGATGTTGCCCAGGCTGGTCTTGAACTCCTGACCTCAGGTGAGGAGCTCCAACTGCCTTGACCTCCCAAAGTGCTGGGATTACAGGCATGAGCCACTGCGCCCAGCCAGAATACTAATCATTTTATTAGAGCCCAGGCAGGCCTTTTAATACACTACAGGGTAACTGTGATACTTTTTTATTCAACCTCCTTAAAAGACATATTTTACATATAGGGCATTAAGTAACTAATATGGCTTGGCTGTGTCCCTACCCAAATCTCATCTTGAATTGTAGCTCCCATAATTCTCGTGTTGTGGGAGGGGCCTAGTTAGAGGCAATTGAATTATGGGGGCTGTTCTCCCATACTGCTCTGGTGGTAGTGAGTAAGTCTCACAAGATCTGATGGTTTCATAAGGGGAAAACCCTTTCATTTGGCTCTCATCTTCTCTTGCCTGCCACCATGTAAGATGTGACTTTGCTCCTCCTTACCTTCTGCCATGATCCACATGGAACTGTGAATCAATTAAACCTCTTTACTTTATAAATTGCCCAGTCTTGAGTATGTCTTTATTAGCAGCGTGAGAACAGACTAATACTTAAACAACTATTTAAACATTTCCAAAAAGGAATGTAATGTAAGTTGAAACACTTACTAGTTTCCATTCTAGATACTCTGGTCATACTTAACAGAAATGTAACTATTCTAGAGCTGGATATATTTTACAGTTCAATAGTTTAAATAATCTATAAGTATTTGGTAGCAACTAAATGTACCTCTCCAAAACACTTCACGAGTACACTAGAAAGCCCAAAATCTGATAAGCTCATTCAAATTGCATATACTGGTTTTACGAAACTGACAGCATTAGAGTAGTTGTTAGCCAAACAAATTTTGAAGTCAGACAGATCTGGGTTTCAATCTTAATTCATCTACTTACTAAATTAATCTCATTAAACCTATTTCTTCATCAACAAAATAGAATTTTGGTTAAGATTAAAAGTGGCAATTTACATAAAGCCTGGAACATGGTAAGCATTCAATAACTGGTATTCAACACTTATTACAAATACAAATAAGGATATTATAATTAGAATTCAGTGTGCACTCCTACAACTTACAATGTTTACTAAGCAGAGAATAATGTGAATCTAATTCTTATTATCTAACGTTCTGCCTCAGAACACTGTCATTTCATTCAAGAGTTTTAAAGTAGAATTAAAAATTTAGTTTTTAACTGATTGCCTATCTTTGTTCAAACACCATCCTGCTTTTCATAGAAATTTTTTTAAATGACTGCAATTTGACTGAAATTTAGGAATGTTTCTCTAAATCAATGTTTTTTAGTTGTCTGTAAACGTAAGAAAAATAGTAAACACATCCAAATAACCAAATTATTATTTAATAATCATTATGAAACGTTTTATACCCAATAAAGACAGGAAGATGACTATGAAATGGATGAACACAACATTCACTTTGCACACTGACATAAATATTGGCAGCATTTATCAACTAACTGTTGCACTAACATATTCTGACTGATGATTATTGATCCACATTATGTCTTTTGTATTAAAATGTATGCAAATGTTTATGATCTTACTCAATGTTTACCACATGCCAAATATTTATACTTTCAAATACCTGTTGGAAAGTATTCAAAGATCATTATGTAAGGTCTAGAGATAACTTTTAGATCCTTAACTGGCTAATCTTTCATGGACAAAAAGGGAGAAAGTGAGTGGGCAGGTGAGCAGGCAAGCAAATTTTTATTTAAGGTGAATGTTGAGGCCTCAAATACAATAATCTGAGAATTATGCTTACATTTTTCTTTCTTCTCTCTTACCCTAGCTTTTATCACCAGAAAGGGACATAGTGGAGCTGACAGAAAATATAGCTATTACAAACAGAACATCTCATAAATGAAGAAACCATGTATAGTTCCCTTTAACATTCAGTTTATCATTTTATGCTTCCTTTTACATTTCTAAAATTTGCTATAAATAGATACAAATTTTAACTAGCATTATGTACACTTCACTAAGTAACACATATATTGGCTACATTACAAACATCCAATTGAGATAGACATCACTTTATATATCTCACAGCAGCATATTTGGTAGCCTTAGACAGAGAGAGGAAATTTATGTATGCTACAGTTTTATAAAATAAGTACTCGATCTGCTTAAATATGTTATTACATCTTTGGTAAGCAGGTTTTAACAGGTTCTTACCATAAGGCTGTTGTAGAAATGTATCGCACAAATTCTGTAAAAGGTAGAGGATCTGATGATGCTCCACAGCTACGACACACACACTATATAGGTAAAAACATATGTTTAATCTATCAGTCATAAAACAGAACTATAATGTCTAAAAAATAACTAAGCCGTCTCACCTGTTCATACAGAGTCATGGCAAACTTCTGGTGAGTGATACAAGATTTAGAGGTACACATGTCTGCATCTCTGCTTGGCACTATGTGAAAATGAATCCTCTCCAATATATTTTCCTAATTTAAAAATAAAATAGATAAATGAGTTATTGATCTTGCAGGGAACACATCAAAATAGAACTCTTTACTTGAAGATTTTCCAAAGTGTAAATTTAAAAGTGTCATACATATTGCTAGCTTTTCAGCTTTCCTCTCTAATCAATACCTTAATTGAATATTCAATTATTCACCTTTTATAGCACTAGCTTAAATTAAATGTTGTTTTATGAAAGAAGCGTTGTAATGTAACATGATCTTTAATAAATTTATTTTTAATCCTTCTAAAAATCAACCCATGGTGACTGACATCTAGAATTTAATGTTAGAAAATAGTTTCCTGTGTTCCCAATATTCTCAAATTAAGAAAAATCAGCTTAAAAAAAATCCTATTTGAATCATCTAGGCAGTCTGTATAAATAACAGCAAAATAAAGGCTCTATATCTACACTAACACCATAATGGAGACAATGTACTCTGCAATGAATTTCATATAAATGTTGATTTACAATATAGATCAATAAGGGGTAGTTATTTCTTTAACAGAATTCTTTTTACCGAAGCTTAACCAATGAATTCTATTAATTAGCTAACTTCCCTCTCCTCTGCGCCAGGATATTTAAAACCATTTAATAATTTAAGCCTAGATTTCTAGACATTTTGTGAATTATCACATCATGTATTAGAACAATTCATTTAAGTGAAAGTAAAACTACAGAGTTTAGCATTGTTCAAAATAAATTTTTTAAGTAAAAAATCAATTATAAACAGAAGAAACATGGAAATTATATTTCATTACTGTGTGTGGCAATATTCACATTTTAATCAACATGCAAGTGTGCTAGGCCAGGTGCTGGTCAATGAGCTTTTCATCTAAGGAAATCATGAAGATGCTTCTTTAAAAAAAGGTGATTAATAATATACAAATGCCAAATGAATTCTACTGATAGTAAATTCTAGAGGGAATGGGTTGGGTGGTTTGGTCAAACCAAACATAAGTCTATGTTATCTGGTAGGCATAGACTTAGTTTGAACCTTGACAAAATGATAGATTTTTAAAGTTTTGAGTATTTCAGGAACTTGAGCAAAAGCTGCTAATAGAACAGGCTTTCATATAAGAAATATAAGCAAGAATATAAAAATAAACATGAGGTACTGAATGGAATAATCTCGCTAGGAAGAAAAATCCAGAGATGAAGCACCAAGGGAAGGTGGAATTTAATCATAAAGGGCCTTAAATATTAGAATAAAAAGTCTACATTTGAATCATGGAAATATTTGAAGAGTAAGCATTAACCTGAATAAAATTATATTAACATGGCGGCTATTAAAAAAAATAGGCCACAAATAAACAGGCTGAATGCACACCAGTAGTAGGCTTAAATATGCTGAACTGGAAGAAGTTGTGGTAGGGAATTAATATGGAAAGAAAAAACTTTTGAAACGGGTTATGATGAAAGAATTTACAGAATTTGCTGACTAGAAATAAGAACAAGAGAGAAGAAATGGCTACAACTTAATTATAGGTGACATCAATATTACTGAGACATTTAATAATTAGCATACATATTTTATATGTATAAAGTATGTACCTGATCAAAAGAATGCTCTACTTACTACTATGGTGGTAACAGAGCCTCAGAACATCACCCTCAGTGATTCTCAACCTGGAATGTGGGTAACAGAACTGTTGCCCCTGTTAACTTCCCACCAAATCCCCTTCTCTCTCAATGATAATCATTGCATGTAATGAAAAATATTCCTGCTAGGAATGTGCCGCATATGTGAACCCTGTAGAGGCAGAACACTGATTTAAGTGATATCGTTTATATTCAGCAAAGCTTATTGCTCCAATTAAGTTTTAAAATATTCTAGTAGCCTAAGAATAAAAATTAGAGCAACACAAATCATCAAAACCAAAAGTACAACACAAAAGACAGATGGATTGAAGTTGAGCTTGAAGGATGGGTAAGATACAGATCTACTGGCTGGTTCTGACAGTCTTCTATTGTTCTAAATTTTTGTTTCATTTGTCTCAACATTTGTTCTATCTAAGGAATGAAAATGACTATTCTGATTTCTTAAGGAATATCAGAAATACTTACAAAGCATTCTGCAGCATCATCCATAAGGCCAAGTTGAAATCGCTGCTCATCTTTGAAGCTTTCTGCAAGAGCATGCCTTATGTTATCTGAGGGAAGTGCTTTTTCTCGACTGTGTTGGAACTGTGCAAATATTGTCTGGGAATCAACGAGAAAATCAGTAAGTTTTATGCCAGCTTTAAAAACATTTCAGTAATTTCATTATAACACAGAGAAACTCAAAACACTACATATACTTAGAAAATAATACAGAAGTCTTTTGTTCTAAAATTTCATGAAAAACCAATTATTTGTATAATCAAGTGTGGAAATATTTACACCAGCCTCTAAATTAAATGTTAGGGGACACAAGAATTCAACATATAGGGTTCCCAGGTCCCACTCTCAGAGATTCTGACTAAGTCTTAGGTGAGGCTCATTTATAAATTAATCCCCAGATGATTCTGATGCAGGTTGTTTAAGGAACAGAGTTTTGAGATTTAAGTTGCTTTAAATCTAAAAATATACAATAGGAATTAGAATTATGCTGAACAAAATAAACATATAATCACATAAAAAATTAGAATACACTAGTCTTAAAAAAAAAAAAAAAAAAAAAAAAAAATAAAAAAAAAAAAAAAAAAAAAAGTAACCTAAAGGAACTTTACAATTTCTAAAAAATTTTCTACTAGGGTCTTAAGAATACCTCCGAAAATGACAAATTTTGATTTAAAAATTAGACACTTTAACAGAATGACAACTTCCCACTATTATTTGACTAAACTTACTTTTTAAAAATGCAAATGTACAGCTTACAAGAAGATTCAGAAAAAAGATAACTTTTAACTTTTAAGAAAAGGTCCTACCACCCCCAAGTTATCAGTTTTCTCAACTGGTTGAATATTACAGGTTGAATATCCCCAAATCAAAAATCTGAAATCCAAAATGCTCCAAAATCTGAAACTTTTTGAGCACTGACATAATGCTTAAAGAAAATGCTTTTAAATTTGATGCTCAATCAGTAAATATATAAATGCAAATATTCCAAAATCCAAAAAAAAAACTAAAATCCAAAACACTGCTGGTCCTGAGCATTTCAGACAAGGAATACCCAACCTGTATTTCTAATAAACTAATTTCTTAAGTTTCTAAACTTAAGAAACTGGAAACATCATTCAGTTTCTAATCTAAACCTAAGAAACTGGAAACATGGGATTATAGTGGTTAGATTTTCAATTTTCCTTACTAAGCTTAAGCAAGAAAAAAAACATTTTAATAAATACCAATTTTATGACAATCATTTTACATGGAAGAAAGTAGGGAAAAAAGTATTCAATGACACCCCACCAAGAAGTATTGGTCACATTCAGTCCTATGTTAGCTCAAGGGGTCATGTCATCTCAAAAAAAATATTTTTAAGATCAACATACAAGGAAAACATTTCAAGAATCTGTTTCACTACTGCAAAAAATACAATTTATAAATAAGAAATTTAAAAAAAAATTTTTTTTAATTTCTGTGTGTCTACATGTGTGTGTGTTATGAATATTTTCAAGAATGTAAAAAATGAAACATTTATCTCTAAAATGTGTAACAAAATCTTAAATGATCTGGCAAAAGTTTTCAGTGGCACAAATGAGTTGCTAATATATACTGGATGCTCTGTTTCTTTGCCTTCCATTTTCCTCAGCAGAGCAGCCACAGGGATCTAGTTCAAACATTACAGCTAGTTAAAACAGACTGTATCACTCTTCCACTCAAAACAATCCCCAATCTCCCTAAATCACTCAAAGACAAAGCCACGATCCTTACAGAGGCCTATAAGGCGCTACACAATCTAAACCCCTGATCCAGTTATTTACTGCCCTGTAACTAAACCACCCCAAAATGTAGTTACTAAGAAAATACTTTTATTTTGATCACAAATCTGCAATTTGGGTAGGAACAGCATGTCTCTGCTCCACCTGAAGTCATTTTGGGCAGTTTGAACGCTGGGATCTGGAATATTTGAAGGTCACTCTTTCACGTCTGGTGATTGATGTTGGCTGTGGGCTGGGAAGTCAGCTCTAACTGTGTCCAGAATGCCTCCATGTGGTCTTTTTGCATGGCTACCTGGTTTCCTCATCATGGTGGCTCACTTCCAAGAATGAGCAACTCAAGAGACAGAGCTGGGTGAGAGCTATATTGCCTTTTCTAAGCTAACCTAACCTCAGATACCTTGCTTGCAGCCTCAGTTCTGCCATAGTCTAAGTTTTTGACAGAAATCAGTCATAAGGCTGATTTTTTTGACAGAAATCAGCCATTCAATGAATTCGATTTTGGATAAGGAAGCATGCAAAAGAATCTGCAGACATGTTTTAAAGCCACCTCAGCTACCCTCACCTCAGAGCTCATCTTCTACCAGTCTCTTCCTTGCTCACAAAGCTCCTACCACCCAGACTTCCTTGGTGTCCTTAAATATGTCAGGTATACTCACACCTCAAGGCCTTTGCAGTCGCTGTTTCTTTGTCTGCCTGGAAGGCTCTTCAAAGTCTCGATTCAAATATCAGTTTCTCTGTGAAGTTTTCCTGGCTACACAATACTCCCTATTTTGTTTACCTGATGTATTTTTCCATTGTTATAATTATTACCATCTAACATACTCTATAATATTTGGCTTTCTTATTGTCTCCTCCTCTGTAAGAACACAAGCTATATGAAACAGGAAATTTTTAGCCGTTTTGTTCACTGCTGTATCCTCAGTAACTACACTGGTACCCAGAACTCAGTAGTAGCTCAAAAAACATTTGTTAAAATGATTAAGAATAATTTCAAAATAATGAAAAAGATAATGTTCCTAACAATTTATACTACTTAGAATATTAATTTTTAACTGTCCTCATATAAAAGAAGAAAATAAAAACACAAACCTGAATAACTTATTCTTTTTTTTTTTAGACGGAGTTTCACTCATGTTACCCAGGCTGGAGTGCAATGGCGCGATCGCGGCTCACCGCAACCTCCGCCTCCTGGGTTCAGGCAATTCTCCTGCCTCAGCCTCCTGAGTAGCTGGGATTACAGGCATGCGCCACCATGCCCCAGCTAATTTTTTGTATTTTTAGTAGAGACGGGGTTTCACCATGTTGACCAGGATGGTCTCGATCTCTTGACCTCGTGATCCACCCGCCTCGGCCTCCCAAAGTGCTGGGATTACAGGCTTGAGCCACCGCGCCCGGCCCTGAATAACTTATTCTTTAAGAATTTACCTTCAAAACTGTTAATCACCTGACAGTGAACTTTAGTTACAACAAATTGACCAAATACATCAACTATCAAACTTAAATTCACCACGTATATCAACTATCAAACTTAAATTTTTGAGGGAACAATTGATAGTAATTTTTCAGAGCTATTAAAAGGTTACCTTCAATGCACAAAATATACAGGCATCTCCCTGGCAAACATGTCCAGTCAAAACCCGCAAGCTTCGTCGGAATATATCCAATTGCCATAAAACCTAAAAAACAACAAGATGTGAAGGAAAAAAACACACTGAGATTTTTCTTACTGTAACAAAAGACATATTTAGATATTTTAAAAATGGCAAAAGGCTAATAAGTAGCTTCTTTTAATTTCCTGTACATAATCAGACATACATAACCACCGGTAATAACAAGAAGTATAAAATTGCTACATGCATGTTGTACATACATAAATGTTAGATTCAGAAGATGCTCTTACTGGTGCACATGAAAAACCATGACAGGCATGGAGCAGGGAAAAACTAACTCCTCATTAAGGATTTGTTCTGAACAGGAAACATGGAAAACTAAATGGAGAAGCTGGCAGAGACATGAAAGAGGAAGTGATTATAATACTTGGAACAAATTGAATTTTTGAAAGGAAATATAATTAGACTTTAAAGCCAGAGTGTACTAAATTAGGGTCTGCACATTATGGCAAGAAAAAGGGGTAAGCAGAGGTGTGTGGCATCACTGTACACTGAACAAGAAAGGGGTACCTATATGGCAATGGGGTTACAGCATGGTAAGAAGCAGCCATTAATAAATTACCTAAATATGTACTTGCTGCAATTATCCATTTACCTTCTGCTACTAAAAGACAAAGACAAAGCAAACCCAAAAAGACTGCCACTGTAAAAACAAAGCAGTCCCGTGCTTAAAATCATTCTGAAAAACCTAAATTCTATACAATGAGGATGAGAATAGTACTTGTATCTCATAGAGTTTCTGTAAGGATTAAATAATATGTAATAATATGTAATGTTTTTAAAGCAGGGTATGGTACTCAACTGTCATGCAATGAGTACCAGCTGCTATTTGTGGCTGTTACTACTATTACAACAAACAAATAAGATCTTCATATTTTCCTATCTTTTAGTTGTGTCCTCAAATAACGTAACTAAGAAAATCTATTCATGATCTCTCCTTCTTCCCAAATAACAACAAAAAGCTAATCAAAACAAACTGGTTTTAATGTTTCCTATATTTTCAACTGCTCCATAACTAAAGGTCATTTCAGAATTTCTCTTTGAAAGTTGCATTTTCTTAAAGCATAATAGTATCAATTTTTCTGTCACAGATAACTCAGTTTTTACAAAGCACTTGATGATGTTTAATAACCTTCTTAAGTATCATGTCCTAACATATTTTTTAAAATACACTGAAATCTGTTTTACCAACAATGAAGATGATTAATGACCGCACAACTTTAGAAGTAGTACACCACTGAGGTTAATAAAATAACCTCTGAAGGCAGGTGTCTGGTTTCTAATTCTGGGTTTCCCATTTACCAACTCCTGGACTGACTTCGGCAAAATATTTTCTGGGACTCAGTTTTCTCATCAGCAAAATAAAGATAAATGTAGTACTCACCTCTTAGGGCTGTTGTAAGGATTAAATTAGGTAACATAGGTAATGTTCCAACAAGCAGTAAGAACACAATAAATGTGAGTTATTAAATAGTATGACAATATTAAATGTTATAACTTTGCACCTCTGACGTTAAAACCACACTAATATGTTATATTATACCTAATTGTACTGCTTTTGCGTTAGATAAAAGTTTAAAATGTTCAGCTAAAATAGAATACCCTCTAAAATCTGTTTATAAAGTTAATGAAGTCTTCCAAATGTAACCAAAATATTTTCTGTGATTACAAAAATTCTCAGTTACACTGGCTCAAACTACAAAATGTTTTATGTTATTTCTTTAAAGTTCCTGTACATTACTGTCTTTAACATAATAGTACAGAGGCTACTTTAACAAATTCCTGTCACTAAATAATTATCCTAATTATAGTTAATCCTCATCCATTTTATTTTATTTTGTTTTATTTATTTTTTAGATGGAGTCTCACTCTGTTGCCCAGGCTGGAGTACAGTGGTGCTATCTTGGCTCACTGCAACCTCCACCTCCGGGGTTCAAAGCAATTCTCCTGCCTCAGCTTCCTGAGTAGCTAGAACTACAGGCACCTGCCACCACAGCCAGCTAACTTTTGTATTTTTGGTAGAGATGGGATTTTACCATATTGGCCAGACTGGTCTCAAACTCGTGACCTCAAGTGATCCACCTGCCTTGGCCTCCCAAAGTGCTAGGATTACAGGTATAAGCCACCATTCCCAGTCCCATTTCATTTTAAAATGTTGACTATATTCTAGCACTTATTTTTTAAAAATTAAGGTTAAAGCTAGTTGCTGAACTAATTTGTTTTTAGCAATATACACCTTTTCATTATTTGCATGTAGCAATTAAAACAGTGCCTAACAAAACTGATTTAGTTATTTTTGAATATTTATACATATTTCTTATATGATTATTCCTAAAAGATCAATACATATCTAGACACACATTATATAAAGAAATATAAACCCTTCATCATACATTCTTTACTTGAAAATACTGTAAGAAATAGCTTACATATTAATGAGAAATGGCATATAAATTCATTTTTCTTAGACCCAAACACTTTAGTGTCTGTGTTTAGTAATTTCTTACAAGACATATTCTACAATTTATTTCTCAGCAGTTTAAAAAAGTATTCATCAAATTGCATATCAACATTTGTATTCTGAATTTTTAAAAAGAAAGTCAGGTCTTATCTAATAGAAAATCCATTTGAATAGTTGTTTTGTCAGGGAGAATTGGCTTTGTGAGTTAGTTTATATGGCAGACATCAAAAGGCCAGCAGATCCCCCAAAGCTGCTAGAGTTGGCAGGGCAGAGTACTGCAGAGTTACATCAGGGATCAGTAGAGGACCCCACTCCAGTATTTGGATGTTTACTATGAGGAAACTGTCTGAGGCATGGGAAAGAAACGCCCAAAAAGATTGAGGGAAGAGTGCACAGAGCTCACACAGGCCCAAGATAGTGCCTATTCCTGAACCAAAGTAGAAAACTTCAAAATTTACAAAACAATGGTTGAAGAAACAGAGTCTCAAGAGCTGAAAAATTAACTCAAGAATAAACACAGCTCTGTCCCGCCTAACAAAGTTTAAAAGTAAAATGATCAAATTGCTTCCAAATAAACTCTGTCCTAGAACAAAGTTCAAGATTTTTTTTAGGAATATAAAAATATCCATAACCTGACAAGGTAAAACTTGTCTGACATCCAAAAACATGAAAGAGATTTTAAGAAGACCAAAATCAAACTTCTCAAAGTGAAAACTACAATGTCTAAGACAAAAAGTACACTGGATGGGACTAATAGCATATAGGTAATGCAAAGGAAAAGATTAATGAACTTGAAGATGTACTAATAGAAACCACACAAAATAAAACACAAAGAGAAAATAAGACTTGAGAAAGAAAATAAAGAGAGCATCAGTGAGATCTGGAAAAACTGGACAACTTCAGGCAATCCACTACATATGTAACTGGAAAACCCCAAAGGAGGGAAGAGACAGAAAAATTATTTGAAGACACAACAAAGTATTTCCAAATTTGATTTAAATCCAAAACCCACAGATCCAAGATGCTCAACAAACCCAAACACAAAGAAACGTGGAGAAACCTATATCAGGAAACATCATTAAATTGCTTTAAGCCAATGATAAGGAGAAAATCTTAAAAGCGGTCAGAGAAAAAGAACAAATTACATACAGAAAAACAAAGATCAGAATCTTAGATTTTTCATTAGAATAATGCAAGCTAAAACACTGAGAAGCAAAATCTTTAAAGTACTGAAAGAAAAATGTCAACTTAGACCCCTTTAACAAGATAAAAATACCTTTCAAAAACAAAAGTGGAATGCAGATCTTTTTCAGGCATACAAAAGGTGAAAGAATTCATCACCAATAAACCTGTATTACAAGAAAAATCCTTCAAGCCAAAGAAAAGAATATCAGATGGAATGCGATTTATGCAAAAAAGTGATGAGCACCAGAAATGGCAACTTGGTAGATAAGTATAAGTAAATAGTCTTCATGGTAAAGGTCAGTGGAATGCTCATTTAAAGAAAAAAAAATACATCACCATAGGAATACTTCTCCATGTTCTAACCCATTTAAGTTTCCTTACTCCAAATTGTCACCTGTTCTGTGTTTTGTTTCCCTGAACTATAGTATTTTGGGTGCCAATGAAAAGGACAGAAACAGAGGGGAAAACAAAAGTGAAAAAGAAAAAGGGGTAAACAAAAAAATATCTGAAATGCCAGAAACCCTTTCTCACAGCCTGATTCAATCAAAAGCATTTAATTCCAGGTCTTTTGGTATCTAATACTTCACTATATCCAGTGCCATTGAATAAATATTTTTCTGCATTTGTGACAGTAATGTCAGTGGGATCTTTGAGCCAGGGCAGAACACTACTATTTAAGTATCCTAAAGTAAATTACCATGAATGTTTTCTTAATACCAACTGCTTCTCTTTCCCTGGGTGAGTTAGAGAACGTTCAAGTTTGGCATCTGTTTCGGGTAAAGGGTAACTGAGAACATAGCTCTGAGTCAGATGTCTGTGCACTTAATACATTCTACATTTATCTGTCAAATGATCTAATCAACCAATATTTTTCTCCATTATTTTTCAAAAGAAAATACATATGAAAAGTGAATCATTACATATGAATTCTTTCATGGTATATTCTAAGCTCAATAGAAAAAATTATCAATATTCTAAATCTTCCTCATCTTTAGTGCTCTACAATGGTCAGAAGGACATAGGATCTACAAAATCTATGACTGCTGAATAAAAACTATATTATGCATAAGAAAGTGTATCATTGTCTAAGGCAGAAAAGCAGGTTAATTAAAAGATTTTCAACAAGAATTGAAGCAAAACAGATTATCCTTCAATTTACCCAAAACAGTGTAGCCCAAATGCTGATTCTGCAGAGATAATTTAAGGACCACAGTGAAAGGTGAAGGAAGTTTGAGTACTGAGATAAAAAAAACCTCTGCATTCTCATTTCAATCCAAGCAGCTTATGTCTTTTTATTCTATCTACAGATATCCATATACTGAATTTTTTTAAAGGGAGGGGTGTTAGCTGACTAAAACAAAAATGTTTATGTATCTTAGAAAAATATTAATTTACTAAACATTTTAAATAAGATTTATATCATAGTGATACATCAATCTGTTGAAACCATTTCCATTTATTATAAAAATCGAAATGACCAGCCAAAACATTTTTGTTCCCATTAAAAGTTATATTAAAAAGTCATTCTAGTTTATAATTTTATTTTTAATTTATGAGCTAAAGAAGCATTAAACAAAGGATTTTCTGAGAAGTATTTTTTTTTAATGAAGTAATTATGGTCTCACCTGTACAGCACTATTAAGAAAGCAGCTGTTTTGTCCTGGTTCATTTAACAAGCCTTTGGTAGGGGCTAGCGATAGCATGCTTCCAGGCTGATAAACTTTTCCAAGGTTGCCACCAGGTTTCCGTAAGAACTTTACCCATGCCATTTTCAAGCAACTTTGTTTGCATTTAGGCTAAAAACTGTACACTTTTATGTAATATTTTAGATAATAAAATGGATGTCTTGAATTGTCCACTTAAATCCACTGCAGTCTATTTTAATAACGTAAGTTTCCAAGTCCATATCTTTCCTGATGTTACAAACTCGTGAAGACTTTGACAAGTAACAATAGGGCACATAAACATTGAAGTTCTAAGCACTAAAAAAGAAAGCTATTTTAAACAAGGCCTTAAAGATGGTTATATGTGTTAAATTTTATGAGAGCTGTATAAGGTCAACATGAAAACAATTTTTTTTAATGGCTAAAAATACTGATGAACAAATCATCTCCTTTAATGTATAAGCCATTTGTCTTAATGCATTAAAATATATATGTTAATAACACAAAAAGATGTAGAGTTGGCATTTGGCATGATTCCTTTGGTTGGTTGTTTTCCTTATATTTTTTTAACAAGAAAGTTTTCTCTCTCTTTCCCAGGTGAAGTTATGAAAGGTGACTCCATATCTCATATCAATGTGACCTCAAGGCAAATCTACAAAAAAGAAGAAAAAAAGTTTAAATAAAAGCAAATGCAATAAGAAAATTTTTACTTTACTATTTGAACACAAATATTGAATATGGAATTAAAACTCATCATATAAAGGATTAGAATGATAGCATTTTAATATATATTTTTAAATGTTTCATCATTTACCTTTTTAAAATACATATGTGACATCAATCCCTACCTACTTTAAGCTCAATGTTCAAAAGATGGTTTCATAAGGAAAATATTCTTCAAAAGTCTAAAATAAATTATATTTCAGCTGGTATCCTATATTTGTCAACACTAACTTGCTCTATTTATTAATATATTGGTATCCTTCTTAGACAGAATCACATTTTTCCAAAAAAGACAGATTTTATGTAAATAGATATGAAAAATTACTCAAACCTTTAATTCATAAATAAATCTTGGTGAATTAAATTTCCATGGTATCAACAAATGCATACTCCTGATTAAAAGGACTTTCAATGTTAAACTTATAAATTAAAAACAAATACAAGAATACCTTGTTTTATAGCATTTTCCTTTATTGCACTTTGCAAATATGCTGACTTTTTAACAAATTGAAGGTTTATTCCAACCCTGTACCAAGCCAATCTATCAGCACCATTTTTCCAACAGCATGTGCTCACTTCGAGTCTATGTCACACTTTAGTAATTCGTTTTCAATATTACTATATCTGTTATGTTGATCTGTGATAAGTTATCTCTGATGTTACTATTGTGCTTGTTTTCAGGCACTATGAACCACTCAAAAAAAGGATGGCAACCATAATCCATGAATGTGTGTATTCTGACTGCTCCACTGACCATCTGTTTCCACTACCCTCTTTTTCTCAGGCCCCCCTATTCCCTGAGATGCAGCAGTATTGAAATGAGGTCAATTCATAACCCTACAATGGCCCCTAGGTGCTCAAGTGAAAGAAGTTGCATGTCTCTCATTTTCAGTCAAAAGCTGGAAATGACTAGTCTTGGTGGGGAAGGCATGTTGAAAGCTGAGACAGACAGGAAGGTAGGCTTCCTACACCAAACAGTAAGTAACCCAAGTTGTGAATACAAGGGAAAAGCTTGAAGGAAATTAAAAGCGCTACTCCAGTGAACACCTAAATGATAAGAAAGTGAAACAGCTGATAATTTTGAGTGGTCTGGATAGAAGATCCAGCCAATCACAACATTCCTTTAAGCTAAAGCCCAATGCAGAGCAAGGCCCTAACTCTCTTTAATTCTATGAAAGCTGAGAAAAAGAGGGTGAGGAAGCTAAGGAAGAAAAGTAGGAAGCTGGCAGAGGTTGGTTCAGGAGGTTTAAGGAAAGATGCCATCCCCATCTTAATAGTACTGTACAGGTGAGACCATAATTACTTACTACAAAAATACAAGGTGAGTCAGCAAGTACTGATGTTGAGAAGGTACAGCAAATTTTCCAGACATCTAGCTAAGATAACTGATGAAAGTGGCTACACTAATTAACAGATTTTCAGTGTTGAAGAAACAGTCATCAACTGTTTGACAGTTGATGCCTGTCATCTGTTGAAGAAACAGTTGAAGACTGACAGTGATATTGACAGATGGAAGAAGATGCCATCTAGGACATGCACAGTCAGAAAGAAGTCAATGCCTGGCTTCAGAGCTTCAAAGGACAGGCTGATTCTCTTATTAGGACCTAATGCAGTTGGTGACTTCGAGTTGAAGCCAATGCTCATTTACCATTCTGAAAATTCTAGGGCCTTAAAAATCATCATAAGTCTAGACTGACTGTACTCTACAAATGGAATAACAAAGCCTGGATGACAGCACATCTGTTTACAACACGGTTTACTGAATATTTTAAGCCCATAGTTGAAGACCCAGTGCTCAGAAAAATATTACTGCTTATTGACAAAGCACCTGGTTACCCAAGAACTCCGATGGTGATGTACAGAGATTAATGTTGCTTTCATGCCTGCAATAACCATTCTGCAGCTCATTGATCAAGGAGTAAGTTTGACCATTAAGTCTCACTATTTAAGAAACACATTTCATAAGGCCATAGCTGCCACAGAAAGAGATTCCTCTGATGGATCTGGGCAAAGTAACCTGAAAACCTTCTGAAAAGGATTCACCATTCTAGACGCCATAAATAACAATCACGATTCACAAGAGAAGGGCAAAATACCAACATTAATAGGATATTTGGTTAACGATACCAACGCTTATGGATGACTCTGAGGGGTTCAAGACTTCAGTGGAGAAAGTAACTGGATGTAATTAGCAAGAGAGCTAGAATTATAAGTGGAGTGTAAAGATGTGACTGAATTGCTCTGCACGTTGTTGAAATGACAACAAAACATTTAGAACATTACTGGAGTGGCAGGGTTTGACCCTAAGTTCAAAAGAAGATCTACTGTGGGGAAAATGCTATCAAAGAGCATCACATGCTACAGAGGAATCTTTGGTGAAAGGAAGAGTCAATGTGGCAAACTTCATTGTTGCCTTATTTTAAGAAATACCCACAGCCACCTCAATCTTCAGTAACCATCACCCTGATTCAGTCAGCAGCCATCAACATCAAGGTGAGACCCTCTACCAGCAAATAGGTTACAACTCACTGAAGGCTCAAATGTTCATTAGCATTTTCTAACAATAAAGCAGTTTTAAAATAAGATATATACATTGTCTTTTTAGACATAATGCCATTTTACACACTTAATAGACTATAGTATAATGTAAACAAAACTTTTATATGCACTGTGAAACAAAAAAAAAAATCCTGCAACTTGCTTTATTGCATTGGTCTGGAATCGAACCCATAATACCTCAGCAGTATACATATTTTACTAACATTTTTGTTTAATCAACTGAATTTTGTTGATGAATTATTTCATTCAACATTTTTTGAGCCATGTATTGAACCAGTCACTGGAACTAACAGTATAATGACAAAAGGCAGACAATACCTTAATTAATAATAAATTGTAGAGTATACTAGAGAGTTATGTGCTAAGTTGTAACAAAAACAGTCTAAGAAAAGGGGATAGGAAGTATATATGATGTAGGATGGTTTGTGCTTTTTAGATAGGGTCTCACTGAGGTTACATTTGCACAAAGATTAGAAGGAGATGAAGAAGCCACCTGAGAGAAAGAATTCCAAGCACAGTGAACAGAAGCCTCAAAGATACTGAGGGTTGGAGCATATCTGGTATAGTGGAGGAATAGTAATATAAAGCCTCGTGTGTGGCAGCAGAAACATGAACAAAGAGAAAAGTAAATGGGAAAAAGACAGATCATGTGAGATCTCGCAAGCCGTTTTGAAGAACTCTGGCTTTAAACTCTGGGTGATGGTCGGGCGGGGTGCCCCACATGTATAATCCAGAACTTTTTGAGGTCAAGTGGGGAGGATCACTTGAAACCAGGAGCTCAAGACTAGCCTGGGCAACATAGTGAAATCTTGTCTCTACAAAACATTAAAAAAAAAAAAAAAATGATCCAGGCCCACAGCCACCTCAATCTTCAGTAACCATCACCCTGATTCAGTCAGCAGCCATCAACATCAAGTTACTCAGGAAGCTGAGGTGGGTGGATTACTTGAGCCCAGAAGTTTGAGGCTGCAGTGAGCTAAGATTGCCCCACTGCACTCCAGCCTGGGTGGCACCAAGGCCCTGTCTCTAAAAGCAAACACCACCACCACCAAAAACTCTGGGTAATAGTGATTGAGTTCCATAGCACAAAAATATGACAGACAGAACGGCCCAGGTCAGTTGAATATCATTAACCAAAAACTCTTTAAAATCGAGAAGAGCTGAAAAATAAAGAAGCATCAGTCTCTAAAAGAATCAGTCAGGAGACTTTGTTTCCAGGCCTGTTTATTGGCTGCTTAGTCTTACGTACATTCCTGTCATCTCTGATTCATGGTTTCTTCACTTTTAAGATGGGGATAACACGAACAGCCCTGCTTTAACATAGGTTAAATGTTTTGAGAATTATAAAATACTATACAATTAGCCCTGCATGTCCATGAGTTCTGCATTTGTGGATTCAAGAACTATGGATCGAAAATGTAGTGTTTGCGGGATGTGGAACCTCAGCTGTGGAGGACCAACTTTTAGCATCTGTGCATTCCCCAGAACCCACTGAAGGACCTAAGCATCCGTGAATTGTGGTATCTACAGCAGGTCCTGGAACCAATCCACTGAGGGACGAATGCATTATGTTAGTTGTTTTCTTGTTTTTATTTTACTCTCCAATTTATAACCTCTTCTAAAGTGATCTAAATGATTCTGAAACCTTGCATACAAATTAAGTTTTTAATAAATTTAGTCATGATTTTACAACATTAAGGAAGTTCTGTATTGGTGGTACATTTATATTCTCAATG